ATAGTTTGGTTTCAATATTTTCGTTAATAGTCTATATTTATTTAACCATCGTGCTTCTTATCATGATGTGATCAATAAAGTCTATAGAAAAAGAAAATACATTAGTAACACAGTCAAATTGCATTTGTCCCCTAGTTTAGAAAGAAGAAAGACAAGGGCAGAGAGTGGGCATCAAACCAACAGTCTCCACACGTTCTGATGCCTCAAGGCCGTTCTCCTCTTTTTATTTCATTAGGAGGCCCTAGTTACAGAATGATAATTCTGGGGAACCAGCAAAGACATAATAAGAAACTGATGCAGCTATGCATAGTACAAACACATAAAACATGATTAACAATCAGGAGGTGCCTTAGGTCAGACACCATCATAACTCTTGCATGTGTGACAGTGGGAGTTGGCTTCATGTGAGGAATCATCTGGAGGTTCACTAGAGCGCGATAGGACACTGCACACAGTTGTCAAACACACAGAGGTTATTCAACAAGTGACAAGTGATTGGTACATTATAAATCAAAGAATTGTAGTACATAAATGGTTAACTCATAGGCCTAGAATATCACACAAGTATTTAGCAAATATGGGATAATAGAATTATTCTGACACCCTTTTTGCACTGAGAAATATTATATTAATGGTGAACTCTGTAACCGTCCATCAGTTAGACTTCACAAAGATGCTGTACTTGGGGTGTTACACAGTATTATTTTATTATGGATGTCTTTATTACAAAAAAAAAAAAAATCTTGAAAATCATGCATTCCTGCTGTGGACGGGGTAAGTGTGTGCAAAAATATCGATATACTGAATTAACTGAATTATTGAATTGAATTGAATTAATGTGATGATACAGTATCGATATCGTGAGCTGCTGTATCAATATATCGGTGAGAGTTTTTTTTTTTTTTTTTGTATATTTTACTTAATTACACTACCGTTCAAAAGTTTGGGGTCACCCAGACAATTTTGTGTAATAATTTTTTTCCTTCAAACTTTGCTTTCATCAAAGAATCCTCCATTTGCAGCATTTACAGCATTGCAGACCTTTGACATTCTAGCTGTTCATTTGTTGAGGTAATCTGGAGAAATTTCACCCCACGCTTCAAGAATCTCCTCCCACAAGTTGGATTGACTGGATGGACACTTCTTGCGTCCGTACGGTCAAGCTGCCCACTTCTCTTTCTACTCTGCTTAGAGCCTTTTTGTGCTGTTCTCTGAAGGGAGTAGTTCACACCGCTGTAGGAAATCTTCAGTTTCTTGGCAATTTCTCACATGGAAAAGCCTTCATTTCTAAGACCAAGACTAGACTGACGAGTTTCACATGAAAGTTCTTCTTTTTCTGGCCATTTTGAGCTTTTAATCGACCCCACAAATGTGATGCTCCAGATACTCAACCTGCTCAAAGAAAGATCAGTTTTATAGCTTCTCTAACCAGCTAAACTGTTTTCACCTGTTCTAACATGATGCACAAGGGTTTTCTAATCATCCTTTACCCTTCTGACACAATGAGCAAACACATTGTACCATTAGAACACTGGAGTGACAGTTGCTTGAAATGTGCCTCTGTGCACCTATGTAGATATTGCATCAAAAACCAGACATTTGCAGCTAGAATAATCATTTACCACATTAACAATGTATAGAGTGTATTTCTGATTAGTTTAAAATTATCTTCATTGAAAAAAACAATGCTTTTCTTTCAAAAATAAGGACATTTCTAAACTTTTGAACAGTAGTGTACATTAATAACACATAGCTAATCTGCACTCTTCCCCTTTTTGCATTGAGAAATATGATGTTAATGTTGCACTTTGTATTTTTCCTGATGAACCCTGAGTTTGACTTCACGAAGATGCTGTACTGGGAATGTTACACAGTATTATTTTATTACAGATGTCTTTATTATAAAACAATATCTTGAAAATCATGCATTCCTACTGTGAACAGGGTACGGGTGTGCAAAAATATCGATATACTGAATAGTTTAATGTGATGATACAGTATCGATATCATGGGCTGCTGTATCGATATATCACCAAGAGTGTTTTTTGGTATATTTTACTTAATTATTTTGTGACAGAGCTGCAGTTTTGTTGCTTTTTTCGTGGAAGGAAACTCGTTTATGCAACACATTTGACATTTTCACAGTTTTGATGATTAAACATGGGTGTGTTTCATTTTAACTTTGCGCAAGAAGTGGTTTAACAAGAACTTTGAGTATCACAGCCAAGATTTAGACCTTACATTTTTACTGAATTGCATCGAATAGATTTGATATATATCGTATAAAACCGAAAGTGCGCTGTATCGTATCGGCAACTTCTACTTCTTCTAGAACAGGGTCTCCACTCCACAGACCTGACCCGTAACTTGGCCTGGTTGCGTCATCCGTCCCCATCTCCAGTCTTAAACCTTCATTTAATATAACCAAAATTTTGCGGATTCCAAACTTAGTCCTTGATTATAAAACAAAACACACGTCTTTGTGTTGCGTAAAACCTAATGAAAAATATGCTTCGGTTGAGAACATCAAATCCTCCTGACGCTGCAGTCGGTAACAGTTATATAATAAAAGTCGGCCCTGCAAATCCAAGGTCCGTCTCAGTCAAGTTGCACAACAGTGTTACACAAAGCGCTGCGCGGGAACGGCCACACGAGGGCGCCCTGAGACCTGGACAAATCAAACCTCGGCTCCTATACCTATGAATCTGAGAAGCCGACAGACTGTAAATGATTAAAATAAGGTGGGTGCATACAATTTTTGATAAAACTGTAATCAGAAAGGAGCCTATCCTTACAGAATGATGCAAAATTAGGACCGTTGCCATAGTAATCGGTGACTTAAAACCTCTAATCTTAACTTTTGTGTTGCGATAAGTCCTCAAAATGTCAACAATAAAAGGTAGCTGTAAATTTTTTAAAAGGTAAATCATGTTGACAAGTTAACACGAACTTTAAATAGCTCTTTAAGATGTATATTTAGTGACCTATTTTAGGATTACAACAGTTACGTCAGTTACGCACTAAAGTCTAAGTAAGAGATTAATTAACAATGCGGTGTTTTGTTTAAAGGGCCCGTATTACGCTATTTTAAAATCTGTGTTATAATGTTCGTTTCTTCATCACAAACAGACCTGGAGTTTCGTTTTGTTTCATTCACGCATGTTTAAACACGTAAATCCTGCATATTTAGGCCGAGTTCTTCTCTCAAACGGAAAACACCCAGTTCCACCTCGTGATGTCATGAGGTAATACACGAAGGAAGTATTTTTAAACTCCATACACTTTCACTAGAATCATTTGGATGGTTTCCACCCTGGAATTGCCAAATCTCCGCTGAACAAAAACTAAAAGCGGACTGCGAACTTAAACTACCACTTCATGACATCACAAGGTGGGATTTTGAGCTTGAGACTAAAGGTTTACGCAAACAAAACGCAACTCTGGGTATGTTTTTGATGAGGTAACAAAATTCTAACATGGTTTAAAGCTCAGAAGAGTAAATTTCGTGTAATATAGGAGCTGTAACTCTTACATACTAGTCGGGTCAAATTTGACCCGTTTTGACAGTCAACAGTAGTAAAAATACACTAATCATCATTCTTTGATCCTGAAATTTGATGACTTTTCCTTAATTTTGCCAAAATACACAAAAATGAACTTTTGTATAAGTGCTACAAATTTTTGGACACTGAGGCTGGTTCGGGTCAAGTTTGATCCAAATCTATTGAGATGATTTTAGCTCCACCAGCTCGGTTCAAATGAAGCAAAATAGAAGTTTCAGGGAATCTTGAACAGTGAAACTGCACAGACTGTGTTTGTGTGTATTTTTTTACGGGACAGTGGTGACAGAGTTCAAGAGTTCCTGATCATCGTGTTTATGGTGCACATAAGAAACAGAAATCAGTCAAGGGGGGAGAGATATTTTCTTCTAAGTTTGTTTTCACACAGGACTAAATAGATCTGTAGATCAAAATTTGGTTTAGACACTTACTATGAAGGAATTCTTGGTCCGGGTCAAATTTGACCCCAACCATACTGTGAAGGCTTAAGAAATGAACAGTTTGTAAGGGTTAAAGTGAATTTAGACAGTACCAAAACAAAAAAAAAAAACGACATTTGTAAGTTTTTTGTTTTTTTTTCTTGTTTTGTTATTATTAGCTTTAATATTACCAAGCTTTTTTTTCAAGCTTGATAATTTCTACAACATATGTACAGTGACTCTGTTTACTTTTAGAAAAGGAGAAAGGGGACTATAACTGACGTGCTGTGTCAATGTACGCAGTGTTGGGGAGTAACAGATTACATGTACCGGAGTTAAGTAATCAGAGTACAAATTATGAGTAACTGTATTCAGTTACAGTTACTGTTTCAGTGAGTGGTAATTGGATTACAGTTACTTTGTTGAAATAAATGGATTACACAGAGGTATTTTCCTGTTTTCACATTATTTTTATTTATTTATTATTATTATTTTTTCGGTAATTCGACTCATTGCTGGAAACTAAACCAGGACTAAAACCAGGTTTAAACCAGGTCTAAAAAAACTAGATCTAAACCAGGACTAAAACAGGATTTAGCAGGACTAAATCATGCTGCGCAGACGTGTCTCCTCTTCTTCTATCAATAATATTTTTAATACGGTTAAGTTTCCTCGTCTTTGCTTCTCTACAACAAATCAAGTAATCCAAAGTATTCAGATTACGTTACTCACTTTAAGTAATTTAATGGATTACGTTACAAACTACATTTTGGGGTATGTAATCTGTAATCTGTAGGGGATTACATTTTAAAAGTCACCTTCCCAACACTGAACACCCAATAAACTTTAATGGAAAAAATTAAAATAAAACAGCAAACAGTAATTAAACTAAAAATCACTAAAATATCTTAGGTGCAAAACGAAATGACAAATGTTAAATAAGAGCAGCACAGGTCTCGTGAGTGATTGTGATGTGCGGTTGGATGCTGGGCCACTTCCGGGAACTTTCGTAAGGCTTTTTCTGTGCAGAGCGCGCGGGACCAAACCGAGCAAAGGCACGGGAACAGCGGCTCGTGCACTCACTAACTACACGAATAACATTGCAATTCACTGGTTTACGGGGAGAATTAACGTGACCTGACATTTGCAAGCGGACTTTGAGTGAGGTAAGACGCGTTTTGTTTTCCTAATGAAGCACGCTGATACCGGGGGGTGTTTTACGTGGCCGTGCGTCGCGTCCAGTGGAACAAAAGGAGCAGGGCTGTCGTACTGCTGACTGCTGCAGACGCCGGTGCCGAGCCCTTTACTTCCGTGTTATGAAACGGGACGCACGACGCACGGGCGGGTTCGGCTCTTTCATAACTTCACGTCGTCCCGTTGCAGCTGCGGGATCGTACGTGCAGGTTTTTTTTTTTTTTTTTGTTCCTAAAAATCTAATCTCGGATGCACCGGAGCGCTCGTGGTTCAGTGATAAAATCCTCTGTCAACTCATAATTCAGATGTTTTAATAGTTGTAACGGTGTGAACAAAGTCACATATGCATTTATTTTCATTTATAATCATTTATCCATTTTGCTGCAACAATTAATTACAGAATACAGAATAAGAATAAGCCACGCCTCCTGGCATTTCACGGTGACAAGTGTACGTGCTGTTTAAATTACATTACCTACGTAGCATTTTTGGACACTAAATTAATGATTTGGATTTAAATATTTCGAATCATCGTAAGTGTTGGGGAGTAACAGATTACATGTACCGGAGTTATGTAATCAGAGTACAAATTATGAGTAACTGTATTCAGTTACAGTTACTGTTTCAGTGAGTGGTAATTGGATTACAGTTACTTTGTTGAAATAAATGGATTACACAGAGGTATTTTACTGTTTTCACATTTTGGGCTATATCCCTTTTTTTCCTTTTTTTTTTTTTTCTCGGTAATTCCACTCATTGCCGGACACTAAACCAGGTCTAAAACCAGGTCCAAACCAGGTTTAAAACCAGGTCTAAAACCAGGTCCAAACCAGGTTTAAAACCAGGTCTAAAACCAGGTCCAAACCAGGTCCTAAACCAGGTCTAAACCAGGACTAAACCAGGTCTAAACCAGGTCTAAACCAGGACTAAAACCAGGACTAAACCAGGACTAAACCAGGTCTAAAACCAGGTCCAAACCAGGTCTAAAACCAGGTCTAAACCAGGACTAAACCAGGTCTAAACCAGGTCTAAACCAGGACTAAACCAGAACTAAACCAGGACTAAACCAGGACTAAACCAGGACTAAACCAGGTCTAAAACCAGGTCCAAACCAGGTCCAAACCAGGTCTAAAACCAGGTCTAAACTAGGTCTAAACTAGGTCTAAACCAGGACTAAACCAGGTCTAAACCAGGACTAAACCAGGTCTAAACCAGGTCTAAACCAGGACTAAACCAGGACTAAACCAGGACTAAACCAGGTCTAAACCAGGTATAAACTATGTCTCAAACAGGATTTAACAGGACTAAATCATGCTGCGTGGACGTGTCTCCTCCTCTTCTATCAATAATATTTTTAATACGGTTAAGTAAAGTCTGGGCTTTTTTTATTTTCTTTTAGCAGATAAAACATCTTATGTTACAATATTCTAGTCTTTGCTTCTCTACAGCAAATCAAGTAATCCAAAGTATTCAGATTACATTACTCACTTTAAGTCATTTAATGGATTATGTTACAAACTACATTTTGAGGTACAGGGTTGTGGGCGGAGATAGGTGGTGCGTGAAAGCAGATATTTTCTAAGCTCTCATGTAGGGTTGTGCAGAAATATCGATATATCGTGTCGTTTAATGTCATGATACAGTATCGATATCGTGGGCTGCTGTTTTGAGTATTTTTTGGTGTGTTTTACTAAATTATTTTGTTAAACCGCTACAGTTTTGTCGCTTGTTTCGTGGAAGGAAACTCGTTTATGCAACACATTTGACATTTTCACTGTTTTGACGATTAAAATGTGCATGTTTCATATGAACTTTAAGAACAAGAAGTGGTTTAACAAAGACTTTTAGTATCACAGCCATGATTTAGACTTGATTTTTTCTTGAACTGTACCGAATCAATTTGAAATATATCGTATCGAATCGGAAGTGCACTATAGAGGTGAGATTTGTATCGTATCGTGGCCTGTGTATCGAGATATGTATCGTATCGGCAGCTTCTTAATGATACCCAGCCCGACACTCAAGCCTTGACAATACAGGATCGCTCAAACCTGCGTGGATAAATCGAAATATAATTTAATAATAAGAGAACACGTTTATGCAAGATTAAAAGTGTCTGAAGGTTTTTGAAATTTTACAGCACATGCTCAAATTAAAGCTACATTATGTATTTTTGTTTGGGGGTCATCTGCTTGTTTCTATGGATATGTCATTGCTCTAAGGCTGTGCGATTAATCGAATTTTTAACTCATATAATCGAGTTGAAACGATAAAGCTTAACAAAGTTGATCTTGGGATATTTTTTATATAAATAAGTATATTTATTTGATTTTTTAAATGTAGAGATTGTAGAACAGCAGGATATATAGTTTATTTTGGATATGTTCATGTTTTTCTTTGCGTTATTTCATGTTCAAAGTATGTTTTATTCATTTTATGTTTTATACATCGCAAAACTGCTCTAAGGTACATACTTGTAGCCTGTAGTTATTTTCAGTTTGAAAATTTTGTGTAAATTATCAATAACAAAGTGGGTTTTTTGAGAGAGAAATGCTGAATAAATGCATCGTGTAACTAAAAAATAATCGTTTGAATAATCCCGATTTCAATGTTGACCCAAATAATCGCCCTACATTGCTCTACCTGGAATGTTCCACAGTATGACATTAAATTACATGTATTCATTTATTCAATGAGTGCGTATACATGCACATCAATAACCCGGTTATTAGCCATATCCCGGTTATGTCAGTATTCGGGTTACTGTGTTTACATGCGCACTGAGAAACCGGGACACTCATATCCGCGTATACATGATCAAATGGAGTATCCCGGTTTCTTGACATAATCTTACAAATGCGCAGGCGCAAAAATTAACTTAAATCAATTTCATAAACCAGGAAAAATACAAACCGTGAGCTCCTTTAGCATAAGAAGCTAAGGAGCTACGAGATCTCCCACAATCCACTGTGCAGATTCTTCATTAAAATCTTAAATAAACTCAACTTTACAACATATAAACCATAAACACTATAGAGCCACATCAGCCCGTTTGATCAGATAATTCAGCTGTGATCACATTTGTTTACGTTTTACAGAAATGAAACTTAAGACCGTTTGGCTAATTAGCATAAACTGTTAGCGGCGATAAAAACAACTCGCTCCTTGCGCCGCTGATGTGATCAGTTTCTTTTGGACTAAATGACACGACTCTGTGGATTATGTGTGTTATTTCTGTGACAGAAGAGGCGCTAATGATGGTAAGTGTGTTTCGTGCGTATAGAGTATAGGAGATAGTTCATGTTTTAGCTTTTCAGCGTCACACGAGTGCAGGTCGTACAGTGCAGTGTGCAGATTGTACATGTGCAGATTGTACGTGTGCAGGTTTAGCGCAGCTCTTAATTTTACAGTCATTTCACTCGTTTGGTCACTTTATTTATGTTGGTCAATTTATTTATGTGACTACTGTTGTGGTGAAAGGCTGGAAAGTGTCTTTTGGACGCATGCGCACTCAACTTTATGTTGCAGTAACCGGGGTACTGCGTTTACATGCCACAAGTAACCCGGTTACTATCGGAATAAACCAGCTACAGTAACCCGGTTTCTAATAACCGGGATACTGCCATAACCGGGATACTGAAACCGGGTTACTGCGTTTACATGCACCATGAAGAAACCGGGATACTCAAAAAACCCGATCATAACCGGGTTATTGATGTGCATGTGTACACACTCAATTACAGGTGCTTTAATAGCTCAAAAATATCTTGAAAAACAAACACTCTGACTGTGATACAGATCTGACCTGTTACTTTGTCAGGTTTGGTCTACATGAAGATAGAAAGGTTTAATATTATACAGTGAAACATTCCAGACAAAGTAAAAACATGTCCACGGAGAAAAGCATTTGACGGACCCTCCAGCAGAAAAGTTACACAATGCACCTTTTAAACTTTTGGAAATTTCTGCTTGAACGCTGTTGGAGCTCTAAGAATATCCGACCCGCTGACAACTTTCTCTTTTAGGTAACATGACTTTACTTTGTTACGTTCTTATTCATTTGTCTGTACCTGGGGAGAAAGCGGTGGCACTGTAGGTTAGACTGTTGGCCCACAAACAAGACAGTTGCTGGACCAAACCTCACCCAACCCAAGCACCTGTAACTCTAAAATGTCGTCTGTTCCGTTCTCCTGAGGCTGCGGGTATGGCGGGTTTGAAATGTTGTATTTTCTCGATGTCTTCCTTGCTTACAAAAACCAACACGGCAGGACGACTGTGTACAACTTGCTTTATTTCGGCAACTTCACACCCTCTTATCAAAAACCTCGGTGCGCTGATCAAATGCGCTCCACTGAAACAATAGAACAGTCGGGTCAAACTCAAATTCACAGAGGCCAAAATTAAAAACTGTGACTAAGTCGTGGGCCAAACTAAATATTTATTGTAAAATTTCAACAACATCTGCATGTTTTCTCTTCTTTCAAGATATGTAATGTTAAAACTTTTCTTACTCCTAAATAGGGATGGGCATTCGATAAAATTTTCTTAATCGATCATCGGGAGAATTAACAATCGATTATCAATCATGAACGTTTTTTATATAAAAATTTATCATCGTTATTATTACTATCTGCACTACTAATCTGCATAAATAAATTCAACTTTACGACATATAAACCGTAACCACTCTAGAGTCACATCAGCCCGTTTGACATTATAATGTGTTTAATGCAGTTTTGCGCAACTGTTGCCCCTCTGACCAGTGGTTCAGAGGGCATATGCCTCCGTGAAGTAAGCCTGTTAATAAAAGAATAGACAAGAGCACGTTTTGAGCTGCTTTACTTCACACAGAAGATTGCTTCTTCTTCTGCAGCGCTCAGTCTACTCTCTACCAACGTTGCGACATGCGCCATCTACTGGTCAGTGAAGGAACTGCACGTTAATAGAACCACATGAATTATATACAATGAAA